TCACAATTTAGTTAATTTTCTGAATAATTAACTAAATTTAGTTAACTATTGGGCTAATTTAATTAATAATTTAGCAATTATTAATGAAAAATGATCACTTTTTGGGTATTGTATATTGTGTCGTTTGTCAGTTTTGTATAAATTAGAATAGATATATGCGAGAGGCCTAACAAGGGTTGGTTTATGCGGAGCGTGGGGAGTTTGGAGAAAATAACTCCGCCAATTTGGGTCCTAGTTTATAACTACTAGTTAATTGATAAGTTAACATTAGGAAAATTTAACTAACTTAAATATAATATTAAAATTATGTAAAATGTTATTTTTATTAATTTTTTTATTTTTCATTAGTGTCCTCGTGAATAACTTAGGAAATTTAAACATTAATTGCGAGTTTTGGGATAATGGCTGTCAGGAAGTGATAAAGTTAGAGGACCTCATACAACACACCGCCATCTGTGAGCACAATGAGGCAAAACGTCCGAAAGCGTGTGACGTATGCTATTGTGACAAAACACGTGATCACGACTGCGTAAAAGCACTACTCGTAGTCAAGTGTAGCGCGAATATCGAAATAGATTTCTTACGTAAAACGGTGACAGATATGGAAAGTGAGAAAGATCAGTTTTTGAAAACCATCCAGGCAATTTCAAACGATACTGGTGATGAAATGTTGGGACAAATAAAACAATTACGTATTAATAATGAAAAACTCAGAGCTTTACTAATGTCTGGATTATTATATGAAGTAAAAATTAAACATTTATTTTTTTTAAGAAAAATTTTTAAAATTTATTTATTTTATTTATTTTTTAGGATGGTGCTAAAAAGAAATTATTTAATTTACTATTAAGCATGGTGATCGACGAGAATTGCAAAAATAAAGACGATGGTACTATTAATTTTATAGGTATAATTTTACAAATCATTTATGAGTTATAAACACTAGTTTTAGATATTTTGAGTGAATTGGCACATAGCAAATATGTGAAGCAAATAAGTGTATTGATTTATGTCCAAACGATCATGGTAAATATTTTCTAGCTTTTACAATATAATGTATACAGTATTGGTTTGCATACTGTCACTTAAGTGACAACTAGCCTTGTAACAACTTTTCATTTTCAAACATTTGATTCAACACTAGTTATTTTATTTATATATGATTTATTTATTATATCTTACTTACCTTACTAATCAATATAATATTTGATTTAAAGACTAATATTTTGATATTATATTTATGAATATTTGTAAATCATAAGTATTTATAATAAACAAAATTTATAATAATCAAGTTTATTACTAATAAATATTTCTTTGTATGAAAAGGAATTTATTATTAATTTTTAAATTACGACTTTTAACTTCAAGTGTAGAAATTAATAAAAATAACTAGTGTTGAATCAAATGTTTTAAAATGCCAAGTTGTTACAAGGCTAGTTGTCACCATATTTGTAGAATGGAAGCTATTATACAGAAATTCCATTACTCTAAATTTGAAAGGAGTAAATTTAATATATGGTTTTATTTATGTAGATTTATTATTTTATATTTTTGGTACTTTATCAAATGTTTCCGAATGTGACCGGGTTAATGGGCAACTTATTGCTAAGGATTACATTGAACGAATGGTAAAGTTTTTAAATCAACAAGCTTACGGATATACCGTATGTGGGTTTGTAGCGAATATTCTAACAAATATAGGTAATGTATATTATTTGCTAAATTATAGTAACTTATATATATTAATGATTTTTATGTATAATAGCTGCAATTGATACTACTCAATGGCCTGAAGATTTGCCTGGTGAATGTAAGCGTGATTTCGTTCTTGGTAAAATAAAAACAGAAATATCTGTTTGGAAAATTAATTTCGATTTATGTTTCCAATATAAGTAATATTCAATGAACTGATTGCATGCTAATTTAACTATAATTTATAAACCGTATATATTAATTTTATTGTAGTTCCCTGGCATCTTTAATAAAATTATTAAAGCCAAATATTCCTGCAGATTGCTATATATTGCCAGTTTGAAGATTGGCTAACTGTACCAGGGTTGAAAGTATGTTGATAATTGTCTTGTTGGCTATTAAGATTGTAATTATAATCCTTTTTAAACTTGTTACATTTAGGTTCTCATTACTGTCCTATGTTGGAAAGGGAGGGTGGGCTACAAGTATTGATGGATTTAATTAAGAGGACAGATGTGACGCGAGATATCAAAATGTTAGCGGCCTTAACATTATATCAGTGCGAGTTGGCTAAAACTGACCATGCTGAAAGTAATAAGCTTAAATCAAGCGAGAGTACACAGGTACCGGTGCAATTTTTGCAACGCAAGCAAATGATAATTTAATTTATGTTTGATTATAAATTGAAAAGTATTAATATTTGTATTGTTCATTCAAAAATACTTATAAAAATGTAGTATCATATATTGATACTATCAATAGAATAAACTTATAAATTATTAATTTCTATTAAGTACATTAAAAATGAATATATTATAATATACTAATTTATAACATATAATGTTAAAAGTTTTCAATGTAATCATAAAATAACATGTATTTCAGATGCAATAGTAATACGACAGTAAAAATAATAAAGTAATACGACACTAAATGACTTTTGTACCAATATTATTTATCTATTAGATTGTAATACTTATCAAATAATAATAAAGTGAAATACTTTCATTATTATTCACAAGTTGGTAAATACGCATTAAAGGTTAAATAATTTATAATATGTTCAAAATAAATTTTTATTTTACTATAATTTTTTAATAGTTAATAGTGTATTTAATCACCAATTAAATCTCGTATATTTTAAAGTAAGTACAGTAAACTTAAACAAATAATTTTATAATATAAATTATTTAATTATAATTATAAAGAACCTAGATTAGAAACATGTCCGGATATGATTTGTCCAGGTTTCCAAATTTATCGGAAATGGAAAAGTCTGAATACACGTGAAGTATATGTCAGGATATATTTTGCTGTCCAATGACTACCCCGTGTTGTCTGCAGACATTTTATGAGGACTGTATCACCGGTTGGTTACAAAACAACACTACCTGTCCTTATGATAGGAAGAGCTTATCTCTGGATAAATTAACAAGAGCACCAAGGTACTGTTGATATTTTATTATGTATCATTTCCAATGTATGTAAATTTTAAATAATTCTTTATTAAAATTACCATAACATAACATCTAAATATAATAATAATTTTAATATTTTTACCAGGGTCCTAGCAAATATGTTAGGAAACTTAAATATTAAATGTGACTTTTGGGATAAGGGGTGTCGAAAAGTGGTCAAACTTGAGGACCTCATACAACACACCGCCATCTGTGAGCACAATAAGGCAAACCGTCTGAAGACGTGTGACGTATGCTATTGTGACAAAACACGTGATCACGACTGCGTCGAAGCGCTACTGGAGGCCAAGTGTAGCGCGAATATAGAAATAGATTTGTTAAAGAGAACGGTGAAAGAGTTGAAAATTGAGAAAGATAATTTCTTGAAAACAATACAGGAAATGTCAAGCGATCATGATGATAATAGTCTCGTGGTTGAATTGAGACAGTTGCAAATAGCTTTTGATAAATAAAGTGATGAAAAATAATTGTTACGTTTACGGATTCAGTACCTTGAGGAAAATGAATTCTTCCCAGAAGTAAGAATAAATTAATTTATCTATTATATAATTAGAGTAAACTGGTCTCATAAAGATTATCAAGTACTGATTAGCACTTGTACAGTTATTTGAAAGCAAAGCTGATTACTTCAATTATATTTCTCTATCAATATATTGTACTAGGCCATTGATTTTATAAATAATTGATTATAATTAATTTTTATAAAGGACAATCAAAAAGTTGAGTTATTTGATAAGGTTCTAAATATGATGTTATCTGATTACAACTCGGATAAGGAGCTTGTTGGTAAATATTACTAACATATTGTATATAACACTTTAGTATAAAAATTAACTACTTATAAAGGTGCAAATATATTGCGTAATTTATCAACCACTAACGCGGTAATACAATCGTCGCACGATATACACGCCGTGGTAAAATGCATATAAATTATTGACGAAAAGGTTAAAACTAAAATTGCGGATGATGTGTTAAGAGATATGTGGGTGGTAATATGTAACTGTGCAGGTACCATTGATCTTATAAAGAAGTTTACGGTATATAAGTAATTTTAGATTAACATTTTAATTTTTAGACTCATCATATGAAAATTGTCAAGAATTCATGGATAATAAAGGCATTGAAAAATTTACTATTTGCACTGAATTATTCCCAAATGATAAAGGTTAAATTAACGTGACATGCTAATTTTAAATTAAAATTTATTTTTTTTTAATAAAAGACCTTCTAGCTGATTTATTGGCTATAATTGTAAAATTTGACTGACTTTGAAAGTTGTAGCAGACAACTATTACATAAAGATTTTCTCAAGCAATTAATTAAATTTTTAAGCCAGCACAATTATAGTTATTTGATAAGCTATTTAGCGGTATCAGTTTTAACAAATTTAGGTAAGTCATTCTAGTAATTATAATTAATTTAGTGCACTAATAAAATTTTATTTTATTTTCAAAAAAGCTGCATTAGGCAGCAATGTGTGGCCTAAAAAACCAAGTAACATAACACGTAATTCTATAATAATTAAAATAAATAACGAAATTGCAACATGGGCGATTAATAATGAAATTTCATTTAATTACAGGTAATATCTAGTACAATAAACACTGATTCCTAATTAATGACGTATAATCAATTAAATTTAGCATGTTTAAACCGACAATACTTCAATTGAAACACAATAGTCAATCGGATTGTTATTTATTTCCAGTATGGCTACTTGCAAATTGTACTAGGGTTAATAGTATGTTTAATTTTAATTTATTAATAATTTATTTTATTTTATTAATAATTTTAATTTTAATTTAATAAATTCAATAATCCTATAACACTTAAATCTACATAAACCTATTTCAAATTTGAATTAAAATATTAAAACTCGATTAGTATTACTGGTATATACAGCAGTAAATATGTGTACTATAAAACATTCCAATGAGCAAGTATAATTTAAATATAAATTTAAAACTTTATGAGCTATAGGTTTTATGTTTATAAATAATTGTATAATTTTATCTAAAATACAATACAAAATTATA